GGCCCCGACCCCGATGGCCCGCCCTGCCCGCGCTCTTCCGGTCCCGTCTGCCGCCGGACCTGTTCTACCTCTCCTTTCCGGGGTGGGGTGGGGTGGGGTGGGCTGGGGAAGAATGCGTCCTCTGACCCCCGCGGCGCTGGGATGGGCCTGCGAGTCCGGGGTCTCCGGAGTTCAGAGTTGCGGGCAGTGGGCGGGACCGTAGCTCCTGGGCTGAGTGGCCTCCTGGGTTTGCGGGCGGCCTGGGCCGGGAAGGTGGAGAGAAGGCTGTGAGTGGCTGTCCAGGGCCACGGGCCAGACTCTTGGGGTCCCCGGGTAGGGGGTGATGAGGGCGCGGGGCAGGGAAGAGGGAGCCCCTGCCTACCTGCCTCTCGCGGAGCAGGGTCTCCTCGACCTGCTAGGTAAAGATTACTCCAGGAAAATTCTTCAGCACAAAGAGATATTCCAGACACTGGGTCTGCTCAGTTCTTTTTGTTAGAAATGGACAGCCTACAGGTTCTAGTGCTAGGCCGTGCCCCTCTGGATGCCCCTCGAGATGCTGGGGACCTGGGCACTTGGGGCCCTTGCTGGGTCACTGGAGCAGGTGTCAAGTCTAATTGAGGATTTAGGACGTTCAAGAAACGAGGGGTAGCACACGGTCGCACTAGCGTTAGAGAAGAGCAGGGGATATTGGCGTTTCTAGGTCACCTCTCTGGTCCTGGTGTTGAGGCACTTTGGAGGGTCCAGAGGGCTGGGCCTCAGGGCTTGCTCTCATTCAGCAGACTGCCCTTTAGTTCATTGATTCAGTGGCCATTTGTGGTGAGGGCTCAGGTTCTCTCCCCTTGGCCATTCTTTGCGGAGGAGGGTCTCAGCCACCCACCTGCCAAATGGATGCCTTGACAGAGGAAGAGTAGTTTTCAGGACAAAATGGTAGAAGGATGGAGAACCCATCTCTTTGGGGAGTTGTGGAGACAGCAGAAGGAGATGAGGCTGCGGAGATGAGTGGGAGGTCAGGTGTAAGAGGCCCTTCATGCCAACCAGAGGAGTTAAGAGTTCATCTGGTAGGGAGTAGAGAGGCAGTCATTGGGAATCCTGCACAGACCTGTGTTGGAAAGATCACTTGTGGTCTTTGCTGTGAACAAGTTTGAGTGACATCAGCAGGCAGAGCCTGTAGGCCTCCAAGGCGAAAGTGCAGTATGAGAGCCAGAACAGATACTTCTGACTAGCCCTGTGTCAAGAAAGCAGTTGGGGCTGTGAAGTTGGGTAGACACTGGCTTGTCACCTGAAATAATCCTGTAGGGCAGTGTGTCTGGGGGAGTGAGCTGTAGTATCTGCATAGGGCCTGCCCTCAGGTCTTGATTGTGGCTCCTTGGATTGTGTTGCCCTCATGAGGGCAGCTGCTGGTTCTTTGTTATTCACGTGTCTGTGCCTGTTGGTGTGTCTGTCCAGGCTTTCCCTCTGTTTATGAACTGCCAGGATTAGATTGGTGTTCAGTAACTTCATGTTCTCCGAGAGGAGCAGAGGAATGCGACCATGTGATGATAGATACCAGACCTAGAAAAGATTTACACCTGAAGAATCCAGACCTGGTTGGTCCTGAGGTTGCTTCCACATCTGAGACACACTGAGAAGTGCTTGTCCTTGGAGCTCCTGCCTTTCTGCCCAAGATACTGGCAGGGAGGTGACTACACCTGCAACTCCAGGAGCAGGGTGATGGAGTGACATTCTGTGGAGCGGTTGTGCTCCTCCAACCTTTCCTGCTCCCTTGATGGTCACACCCCTTTCCAACCATAAGGACTTCTCTCCCTCTGTGACCCTCCACAGTCCAGCTGTCACTGTGTTTAGCCGGCTCTAAGGAAACGGTTTGTTTCTGTTTTTTAGCCAATGGCTGCCTAGGGCCAGCCCTTCCCCCTCCCCTGGATATGGGCAGTGGATTTCCAGCTCCAGTGAGAGATGATCCCTCCCTGGGAGCTTAAGCTTCCTCTAACACCCCACTATTATTTTGTTCAAGTGGGAGAACAGTTAACATGCCTACAGTGAGCTAAGTAAGCCAGGTGCAGGCTGGGTGCTTCAAAGGGGAGCTTTGAGAAAAATATGTATGAGATCCATAAACATAGGCCAGAAGGACACAAGTGACCATAACACCATACATTATATCATCAAATTGCTTCCATTTGACATTAAAATAGATGAGTAGAAAGTTTTTCCTTTTTGCCTTTTCCTCCAACTGGAGAATATTACTCATCAGTTGGAAAATATGCCTGTTCAGGGTCTTTGGTCAGGTCCCTGGAAGGGTAGGAAGAGCCACAGCAGTGAGATTTCAGGATGGAATGCATCTCTGGAGGTGCAGACTCTCCTACGCTGGATTCTGCTGAGCCAGGCTGCACACTGTCACCAGCTGTCCCTGGCCAGCCCGAGTCCTCCAGGCTGGCAAGACGGTTGAAGACCACAAAACCGCAAGTGTGCACACTGCCTCCTGAAATACCTGGTACTGGTTTGAGGCCTTGCCTGGCTGTCCTGATCACAGAGTAACTTTAGATAACTCTGTTCAGGGATATTTGATCTTTAACTTTATTAGATTTTCTGTAAATGATCCCATTATTAGCGCTTAGGTAGGGATGCAATTTTTTTAAAAAATATTTTTACTGATTTTTTTATAAAGAGAAGAAGGGAAAGGGAGAGAAAAAGAAACATCAATGTGAGATTGGAACATCAGTCGGCTGCCTCCTGCATGCCCCCTACCAGGGATGGAGCCCAAAACCTGGGCATGTGCCCTGACAAGGAATTGAACCAGTGACCTTTTGGTGCATGGGACAACACTCAACCACCTGAGCCACACCAGCAAGTGCAGGGGTGCAATTTTTTTTTAAAAGGAGTTTTATAAGAGGACTCACTCACCTTTTTAGTTTTATAAGGAAAAACTAGTCTGACTATATCATATCTTGTTTTTCATGAGGCTTTTGTCCAAGGCATCTTTACTTTGCTTGATATTTTAAAATATAAAACTAATTCTTGCAAGTAAACTTGTCAGGATATTAAATATTATTTTTAAGCACCTACCCCTATGTAAGAATTCAGCTCTGGCATTAAGCACCAGGTTGTATATGATTTATTACATATTTTTAACCCTGGGACAGAAAGGTTGAGAACAGTGCTAGACAGAGCTCTTTGAATCTCTACTCCTAGACAGAGGGTTCAGTTGTTGACAACCAGGAGGACTATGTCCAAGAGAAAGCAAATGATTTAAGACTGAAAAACAGTAAGCTCCATCCCATTCACCAGCAATACTTGCTGGGAGTCTTATGTGTTTACACAGTTCATGCATTTAAACTGAATGTTTTGATGTGGCATTTAGGGGCCTTCTCTTACCTTGCTCTCTTACCTGCTCTGTTTGAATTATTATTATTTCTATAGACTCGTCTTCTCATCAAGTCAAAAAAAGTTTACTCAGGTTTCTTTTTTATTTGTTTGTTTGTTAATCCTCACCCAAGGATATTTTTCCATTGATGTTTTTAGAAAGTGGAAGGGAGGGGGCAATAGAGAGAGAAAAACATTGATATGAGACACATTGATTGGTTGCCTCCCGCACATGCCCTGACCAGGGCCAGGGATTGAGCCTACAACTAGGTAGGTGCCCTTCACTAGAATTGAACCTGGGACCCTTCAGTTTGCAGGCCCAAGCTCTGTCCACTGAGCCAAACCAGCTAGGGCTTTACTGAGGTTTTCTGCACCCACACGAACTTTTTCGTGCCCCTACTTCTTGCCCCCAACCTCCTCCCTGCTGTTCCTGTCTCTATCTGGTCCTCACTTTTCCCAGCACTGTTCGGGGTTTGTTTTACTCTTCTGGTGCACATTCTTTGCCTCCCAGCTAGGTTATCAGTTTCTCCGTCAAAGCTAGCCCTTGTC